TAGTGTATCTGAGGAATATAGGAACTCTGTACCACCCAGAAGCATAGCAGAGACTGTGACGTTTATGAACCTTCCCTAGAAACTGGTGTGGATTAGATGGGACCAGATAATTGTTTTCTCCCTAGCTCTCTGAAAATGGCTCCCCTGGGGTAAAAGAGTGAAAGCAGCAAGGCTACTATTGTGGGAAGTCTTTACAAGGCTATATAAAGAAGGCAGTAGAGGCTGCTTGCAAAAAACCTCCCCTCTCTGTACCTCTTCAAAGACCATCCCAGTTTTGCCTTTTATCTTTACGGTAAAAAGTTTTAAAAAATTCAAAGCATAAGAAAGAGCAACAACCAAACAGTGTTACTGGACCACTTTTCTGTTGGTGTAAATAGGTGCTGTTCCTTCCTTGGAACTGCCCAATCACCACCAGTACAGAATTTGGCCCATTGTCTCAATGTAAAATTATTTACACAGATTGCATTTTTCCCCCCTCTCCTCCTCCAAAATTGCAGAATCCATTGTAAAAATTGTCAAATGCGCCAGCAGCTATCAATAGCACAGACGCTGTACTGCTGAAATGAGTGGAGTAAGGCCGCCCACACATTTCTGTGGGCTGTCTGTCAGTTAAGATTGGATGCGACACAGGTACTGAGATACTGAGCTGTTCATCCTCACATTAGCAAAGTCATTGCCTACAGTAGGAACACAAAACCTCTTTTACTAGCATCATGGCAGAACAAATGTTTCAGTTCTGAATCTACACACCTTTGAGGCCTAGCGTTCTTAGCTTAACATGCAGGAAAAAACGGGAATATAGGAAGATGTTAGGATGAAAGATCCTACCCTATATTTAGGGCTGAGATTTATGGTACTATTTAATTGTTGACACAAAAGGTATCAGGAAAGATACATCTCTGTTAAGATGTATAGGCTGCAGCATGCAAGCTCCACGACTGTGGTAGTAGAAGCATTGCAGTGCAGTGTTTTCTGAGGCTGACTTGACAGGGTAGAGTCTGTCAGTGATGGCAAACAGGAAACATTGATGCAAAGTTTATTTTGCATCCTTGTGTGACATTCCAGCTCTAAAAACAACAGTGAGTAAGCTATATAGCAGAAAGACAGTCCAGGACATTATCTCCTCTTTGGCTTTTCTCCTTCCTCAGGTCTCCATGAGTGAAATTTTCAAAACAGCCATATGCTTGAGGAATCCAAATCTCTCTTTCAATGAAGTTTACATTTTTATTTGCCTTGTCTATGTTCTGGGCTGAGCCCTCAATTCCCAATAAGAAGCACAACCATAACAACATAAGAAATGCTATACTGACCAGTGGTCCATCTAGCTCACTAGCTTACAACTGACAGTGGCAGCAGTGGACACTTTAAACTGGATATATCTAGAGTGATCTATTCCCTGTCATACCTCCATGGCAGCTACCACCATTGGTTTAGAAATGTCAAAGGTTTCATTCATGGCTGTTCTGTTGAATAGCTGCTAATGGATCTATCATCCATGAATTTATCTTGTCCCTTTTTGAATCTAGAACTACTATTGGCATCCACCACTTCCTGTGGGAATGAGTTCTTCAAGTTAACTATGCACTGCAGAAAAAAGTACTTTCTCTTGTTAGATTTAGACTTGTGTCATGCTAATTTCAGTGGGTGCCTTCTACTTCTAGTTACCTGGGACTTGGTGTATTAACAGTTCCCTACTCACTTTATCCACAACCTTTACGATTTTATAGACCTCTATCATATCCCCACTCAGTCTGCTCCTTTCCCAACTAAAGAGTTGTAGCCTTTTCAGTCTCTCCTGGCATGGCTGCTGCTCCATACCCCTGCTCATCTTGGTTGCCCTTCTCTGTACTTTTTCAAACTTTACTACCTCCTTTTTGAGATGTGCCCCACTTACTTGCTCCTGCTTGTGCAGGTCAGATCCCAAAAGGAGATGGTGTAGCTGCCCTAGAGGGGCCCTGATGCACATTGAGAAGCATATCTGAAATTCAAGCCTGAGAGCAGGATTAGGCTGCATTTTCAGGGCTTCTAATAAGGTGTCTACATTGCTTCATTTCTGAGATGGGGTATGCAGAGTGGGTGAACTAGTGTGGGAGGGCCATGCTTCTTGGTGGTGTTTACAGACTTAGCACAGAAGCAAGACAAACAAGCTCTTAAGTCACTTTTGGGAAGAGATTAGAGGTCTAAATCATTTTTGCCTTGCCATGCTGTGATATATAAATAGCTGTAAAAATCTAGTGCCAAGTCATTTTTGAAAATAGGACATAGACCCCCTAAGTCATTTGGACACTTCTGAAAATTTTAGTCTAGATTTATTTCTGTCCTCAGGTTGGTCACTTTTACAAATTCTGGTCCCTCTACAATTCACATGGCAACTTTTCTGGGAATTCTGTGGAATGAGTAATGATATTGGCCTCAGGACCCCAAAATAGCTGTCATGCAAACTGTGGAAACATGGGACTCTGTGGACAGAACTGTGCTGGGTGGATTGGTAAAAGTAATGTGCATAACCACTGTGGCGGGCCAGTAGGGGGTGGTCCTGTGTTGAGCCGTCCATCTCACTGCACCCAACCCCTAAACCACGCTTTGGGTGCTTCCCCTGGAGCACCTGTCTGGCCAACCCCCTTCCTGGATCACACCTGCAAGCCTGGGGTAACTGCTGCCACCACCTGGTCTCTGGTCTCAGGGCTCTGTGTAGCCTGGGGTACACAGGCCTTACAGACCTTGGGGGTGCTTAGCCCCACCATGGTATCTTGGGTTGCTTCTGTTAGCCTGAAGCATTCAAAAGTAGCCTCCTCTACTGGAGAACAGTAAAAAGCCATGCTCATCTTAGCTAGCCTGTCCAGTTTACCTGATGCCAAATTCAAAACTTGTTTGTTCAAGGGTTTTCAGTAACTCAACTTCCTTCCCCAAAATTATGCCTTCCAGACAGTCTGTGGGATCCCAGCCCTGACACCATGTGTGTCAGGCCAGTAGGGGGTGCTCCTGCACTGAGCCACCCACCTCACTGCGCTCGACCCCTAAACCACGCTTTGGGTGCCTCCCTTGGGGCACCTATGTTTGGTCAACCTCCTTCCTGGAGCACATCAGCAAACCTGGGGTTACTGCTGCCACCATGTATGGCAAGCCAATAGGGGGCACTCCTGTGCTCAGCCACTCGCCTCACTGTGCCCGACCAAAAGCCCACTTCGGGTGTCTCCTCTGGAGCACCTACATCTGGCTGACCCCCTTCCTGGAGCACACCCGCAAGACTGGGGCAATCGCTGCCACCACCCAGGCTCTGGTCTCAGGGCTCTGAGCAGCCCAGAGCCCTAACAAAGACCCAGGCCCAGATGATGGCAGCGGTTATACCAGGCTTGCAGGTGTGCTCCAGAAAGGGAGTTGGCCAGACATAGGGTACCCAGAGCATGGCTTAGGGGTCAGGCACAGTAAGACAGGCAACTCAGCGCAGGAGCACCCCCTACTGGCCCACCACAACCACAATCCATTCATTCTAATTAGGGCTGTCAACTAATCACAATTAATGTGAGCAATTAACGCATTAATTGGTTCTTGCATTAATTTTTTTAACACATTAATTGTGCATGTGGTTTTGGAGCCTGTGCCTGGGCTCTGCTCCACGCCTCCAGGCTGCCCAGTGGTGGCAGCACAGAGGACCATGGGGCAGCCCAGGTGCAGGCTCCAGGTGGCTGCAGCAGGAGTGGGGGGCGTGCACACAGACACAAATGCACATGAACACCTGCAACCTGCATGCGGCCAGGAATGCATCCTGGTAGCATGCAGAGCACTGCCACCTTGGTAAGTCTGTGGAGTGGGAGGGAGAGGGGGCAGATCAAAGCCCCCACAGTAAGGGAGAGAGAGGGGCAGAGGCATGGACTGGGGTGAATGGGGTCCTGAGGCTGGGGTGGGCCCTAAGACAGAGCTGCAGGTGGCTCATCCAGGGGCA